GACCAGGGCTCGAACCCGTGTCCCCTGCATTGGCAGGCAGATTCTTAACCATTGTGCCACCAGAGAAGTCCTGTTTGTTGATTATTTCTAAACATGAAGTTAAGGTTTAAATATATATATTATAAATTCTAACAAAGAAATAAAGGAATTCTTCATTAAGATTATTCCTTTCAGCAAATATTTAGTGACTACCTATTATGTTGAAAGCAAAGTGATTGACAATGAGTATACAGAGATGAATAAGATAATTCAAGAAAAGTCTTCTATCTAGCATCTGAGAAACTCTTCTCAATAAAGAAAGTTGAATTTATAAACCTAATTCTCAATCCTTCAAATAGAGGAAGAAAAAATAAAATGGAAAAATTTTGAAGAATTTTATACCTCGAAACCTAAAACAATATTCTAAGTGTTAATCATTTTATATTAGAATTACTCTGTGATCAACAATAATCTCCTGATTCCCTAAAAATAGGTAATAGAATCAGAATTTTAAGGTGTCATATTTTGTGTTTTATATGTCATATAATGTTTGTTTCTTAAAGAATATAAAATTGGAGACTTCCCTGGTGGCACAGTGGTTGGGAATCCACCTGTGAATGCAGGGGACATGGGTTCGATCCCTGGTCTGGGAAGATCCCACATGCCGCGGAGGAGCTAAGCCCGTGCACCACAACTACTGAGCCTGCACTGTGGAGCCCGTGCACCACATCTACTGAGCCCGCATGCCACAACTGCTGAAGCCTGCGCACCTAGAGGCCATGCTCTGCAACAAGAGAAGCCACTGCAATGAGAAGCCCGCGCACTGCAATGAAGAGTAGCCCTCACTCTCCTCAACTAGAGAAAGTCCATAAGCAGCAACGAAGACCCAACACAGCCATAAATAAATAAATAAATTTATTTTTTAAAAAAAGAATATAAAATTGGAGTTTACGTTTTACTGGAAATTTTTTTTATATCAGCTATATAAAAATGTACTTTTAAAGTATCTTGAAAATAAACAATATCTCAAAAAGAAATCACTTGAAAAATATGCTATACTTAAAGGAAATGTTAATTTACTTCTTCAGATTTCTTCTTTAGCTGTTTTTCAAACTTTTCTTTATTTCCTTCCAACTGGTTCAAATGCAAAGCAAGTTCTTCCTTACAAATTTCCAATGCTGAATCTAGTTGTCTGACCTAAGCAGAAAAAAAGCAAAAAAGGAAAATCAACCAGTACTAATGAGTGCTTATTATAGGCTCAATATTTTACAGCGTTATCTCCTAATGTTACCTCACTGCTTCAACCAGTGAATATACAGTCCAACTTAGGATATAAAATGCTATCAAAGAAGAGATTTATTTAGAAAACTAATTATTACTGCAAACTAGGAAACCAAAGAGGAAACCAGTGCCTGGAGTCCTGAAGAATAAATGGACATGAACAAGTGAAGAAGGGCATTCTAGGAAGAGGGGAGTACAGTCAGAGACAAGGCACTGTGAAAAGGAATGGTAAGAAGTTGGCAGGAGCTTAGGGTACCAAAACCATGAATTTGTAAGAGATGGGTACTGGAAGGGTGGGATTAGCAAGATAGACTGGGGCCAATTGTCAAGGACCTGCAGGCCAGACACCCTGAAACATTTACCTAAAAAGGTAAGCAGTATTTAAACCTATTCCTTAAGTTCCCTTGATCAAGAAAAATAATAAAGTGAGTACAAACTGGTGTATTGTGCTAAAAATGCTATAGTGCGAATATTCTGAATATGCTGAAGTCACTAAGAAAATGAAATGTTTTTGTCGGCTAATGAAAAACAAACTTAGGTAAGACGGAGAAGGCTGCTTTTGCTCTGAATCAGTGAAAACATTTTCAGAAAGGCAGCAATGTAACTTGGTTCAAGTGTTCATAAAGCTGCAAATGCTTCACGCTACCTCAACATTAAAGAGAGAATGAGCAAAGAGCAACTCAAATTCAGTAAAATTTTTCAGAATTTGCACACATGCTCCACATCCCATCTGTTAATAAGATTCATTCTTGTCTTGTTCCTTTCTTTTCCTTATTGTATTTCTGAGCTTCTCAGGAGTATTTTTTTTCTTTCCTCAACGCTAATAGCATTCTAGTAAGTAGTCATCAAAGTGTGAAAGAAATTTCAACAAGATAAGGAGAAAAAGTGTTCCCTCTCCTCCTCCGATACTATTCTACATCATGAAATTATCTTTGCAACTCTTATTTCTAAAAAGAGACACAACTGAAAGACACAGTTTTCAAAGCCTGTCCCTATAGCCTGTGAATATAACCATTAACAGTTAAAAAGCTTATAATTTTGATTAATTATCTTTGTTAATAAACTGTTGCCCTAATAATAATTTTTAAAGTCTTTTATGAGAGGTATAAGTATTTACAGGTTTTCTCTATTAAGCATGAGAATAAGCATTGGTACGTGCATCATCTTCCACACAGAAAAAAAAATCTATGACCTATATCGAGTTTTTTGTTTGGTTGGTTTTTTGCGGTACGTGGGCCTCTCACTGTTGTGGCCTCTCCCGTTGTGGAGCACAGGCTCCAGAGGCGCAAGCTCAGCGGCCATGGCTCACGGGCCCAGTCGCTCCGTGGCATGTGGGATCTTCCCGGACGGGGGCACAAACCCGTGTCCCCTGCATCGGCAGGCGGACTCTCAACCACTGCGCCACCAGGGAAGCCCCTCTACTATATCTTTTTAGTCTTTTATTTGACATCATTTTTTTTAAACATTTACATGTTATACTGAAGGCAGGGGTTCATTTTTAAATTTCTCTGTTTAACATTCTAGTGTACCACAATTTATCTATTCTACTCTCCATTGATATTTGAGATATTTCCCAATTGATACTATTTAAGACATTCATATCTTTAGATCATCTTTATATTTACCATTTTCTGGCTTTTGCTACATAAATAATGATACCTTATGTATTCCTATTATTGGAATGTGGCATCCTAATTAATTGTCAATTTTATGTAAGCAAGTAACTTTTCCCTGGTTTTTGCTTACCTTTACTTTTTTTATTATGTGTTTGAATTTAACTAAGCAAAATTTTTAATATTTTATTTTGAGATAATTGTTGATTCACTGATTCTGTATTTTGATAGAGAGGTTCTTAATTATAATGTAGTCAAATTTATCAATATTTACCATTATGGTTAGTGTTATTTTTCTTTTTTTTAGTCCTATTTAAGAAATCCTTCCCTATCTGAGATCATGAATACTGTCTCCTATATTATCTTCCAAAATGTTCAAAATTTTGCCTTTTATATTTACATCTTTAATGTGCCTGAATTTATTATATTTTTTAGTATATTGTGAAGTTGGAGTCCACTTTCATATTTTTTTCTTATTCACAATCTATCTAATGCCATTTATGGGAAAGTTCATCCTTTCTCCACTTATCTCCAGTGCCATCTCTGTCACTGATTAAATGTCTACAAATTGTGGGTCTTTCTCTGAGGTTTGTAATCAAATCATTCTTTATCCTTAATAAAATTTTATGTGTTACTAGTATTTAGAGATGTGACTGACTTCTCAATGATGATTTCTAGCTGCCAGTCTTGTTAATACTAATAATTTGTCTATAGGTTATTTTATGTTCTCAATACTGACAGTCAGCTACAAATAATGACAGTTTTATTTCTTTCTTGCCAACCTTGATACATTTTATTTCTTTTTCTGGCCAGATTGCAGCTGCTAGGATCTTCAGGACAGTGTTGAAAAGAAGAGCCACTGGGGGGAGTGGCCAAGATGGTGGAGTGTGAAGACCCCTCCCATGGGCACACCAAAATTTCAACTACTTGTAGAGCAACTACTGATGAGAAAAACTGGAACACCAGCAGAAAAGACCTTCTACAACTAAAGATATATAAAAGGAACCACAACGAGATGGGTAGGAGGTATGGAGATATGGTGTAGTCAAGACCAATACACCCAAGTGGGCAACTCACAAACAGGAGGATAATTATAATTGCAGAGGTTGTTCCCAAAGAGCAAGGAGTCCAAGCCCCAAAGTGGGCTCCCCAGCCCTGGAGTCCTGCACCGGGAAGATGAATACCCAGAACATTTGGCTTTGAAGGTCAGTGGGGCTTATTTTCAGGAGAGCCAGAGGGCTGTGGGAAATAAGAGACTTGACTCTTAAAGGACACACATTCTTTGTGGCTGTCTGGAGGGGTGGGATAGGGAGGGTGGGAGGGAGGGAGACAAAGAGGGAAGAGATATGGGAACATATATATATGTATAACTGACTCACTCTGTTATAAAGCAGAAACTAACACACCATTGTAAAGCAATTATACCCCAATAAAGATGTTAAAAAAAAAAAATCTATGACCGTCAGAACATCACATGTGATAAAAATTAACAACGTAAAAACTCAATCAGGCAAGATTCATCACTAGATGTTAAAACCACTGGTCATTAGTTTGTTGAGGGACAGGACTTTGAACATGGCCTCAAAGAATCACCCTATGTATTGTTTATTAATTACAAAGGAAAAATTATGCCCTTAAAATAGTGAGATCTGATAGTAACCACCTTAAATAACAGGTGTCAAGATTGGCAAAGCCAATAATGGGGTGGTGTGAAATTATGTGCCTCCTGATGTGAAGCACGGGGAAGGACACTATAACCCACAGTATAATCCACAATTGTGGTGTGTGTGCTATTATGGTTGACCTAGACGTTTCCAAAGATTCAGTGTCGTGAAGAATAGGAGACAGTGAGTTTAGGGGAATCTAAAAAGCCAAAAGCAAAACATGAATTATGACTGCATTCTAAATTGGGGAAAGAAAAGGAACAAGCTAAAGTAGTGTTTCTCACAATTTAATGTTCACACAAATCACCTGGACACCTTAATTCAGCACCAGAGCCAGGTCTAGGGTGAGACAAAGGAGGTTCTAGGGCTCAAAGTTTAAGGAGGTACTCACTCTCAGGATCATGCAAATGCCTACCCTTCACTTGTACAACCCAGAGAATAAATGTCTCCTTAAATTGTATGCCAGAGGCACTCCCTAGCTTCACTTTAGTCCCAGCTCTGTTCAGTAGGTCAGATATTCTGCAAGTCAAACAAGTTCCTGGGTGATAGTGATGCTGCTAGACCATGCTTTGAGTAGCAAGATTATTAAGAACATTTTTAAATAATTGGGAAATTTTCAGTATGGACAGTATGTTGAATGGTGTTACTGAATTAATGTTGACTTTCTGTGGTGTATAGAGATGGTGTAATCAGGTAGGAGAAAGTTTCTATAAATAGGAGACCCAAGTTTAAGTATTAAGGGTGTAAAGTATCATGACATCTGCAACCTTCTCACAGGTGGACTAGCAAAAAGGAAACGTATGAGTGGGGGTGGGACTGGGTGGGTGCATGCGCAAGAAGGCATGTGCATGTGTGTGCAGAGAGATGAAGTGAGCATGGTTAGAGTTTAAAAGACAGTAAATCTAAATGAAAGGACACAGCTGTTCTCTGTACTAGTCTTTCATTTTGTAGGTTTGAAACTTTTCATAATAAAACTTAATTAAAAATAAATTAATTAAAACTAATAAATAGGGCTTCCCTGGTGGCGCAGTGCTTGAGAGTCCGCCTGCCGATGCAGGAGACGCGGGTTCGTGCCCCGTTTCGGGAAGATCCCACATGCCGCGGAGCGGCTGGGCCCGTGAGCCATGGCCACTGAGCCTGCGCGTCCGGAGCCTGTGCTCCGCAAATGGGAGAGGCCACAACAGTGAGAGGCCCGCATAACGCCAAGAAAAAAAAAAAAAAACTAATAAATAATAAAACCCAAAACATCTACTCCTCTGTTGGATTTCTCATTTGAACAAAGAGCTTGAGACTCTAAATCTCATACAAATAAACATCATTCACTGTGTACAAACCACTCATAAATATACATGTATATATATGTACATGAATGAATAGAATCAAAACAAAGATACTGCTCTGCTAAACCAAAGAACCTCCTCGGGGGCATATTCTGGAGGCAACCACATAGGGGCTCTACGCTACCTACTTTCAACAGAAGCACCTAAGCTAGTCTTTTTTGTTTATTTTTTTTCTACTTATAACTTTAACTTTCTTTGGGGAAATAAAACACACACAAAAATCTAGAGTGGAAAATAAAAGCAAAGCAAAACAAATAAAATAAACAAATGAAATCGCTAATAAGTACCTTCTCAATTTTCTATTTAATAGCAGCTAACATAATTGCTTTATTGGTTTTTTTGTTACCAGTTCATAAACTTCCCATCAGTCTTCCAGCTATCATTATCATACTTCTATAAGTGATATGAGTTTAAACTGATCCTTATAACTCTCCTGCAGATAGAAAATTTCAAATTTTATGCAAAGAACAAACTGAGTTATGCAGAAGGACATGTCCAAAAGTCAAGAAAGAAGGTGGTAACGACATAATCAAGAAAAGAGGAATATATTTCAAACTTCTATTCGATATGTTAGAATCATTTAGGGAATTCCCTGGCAGTCCAGTGGTTAGGACTTGGTGCTTTCGCTGCTGAGGGCCCAGGTTCCACCTCTGGCAGGGAACTAAGATCCCACAGACCGCACAGTGCATCTCAAAGAAAAAGAAAAATAAAAAAAAAAGAAAGAAAGAAAGAAAAGAATCATTTACTATAGCTTCAATGAAAGCAAATCTACTAAAGGTACCAAAGGAATAAAACCTAACATCATAATTCATTCTTTAGCTGATTTCCTTCCTGTCTCATATCTGATTATTAACCAATGAAAATAACTTACCAGATGACTGGCTAGATGTGTTAGGTAATTTAATGAAAAACAGGAGTTCAGTGGCAAGATGGATTTTTTTAAATGAAATTATATCATGCCTACAACCTTTGTACAATAATGATTTTTTAAATACTAATGATCTTAGAGGTTATTTTTACATGAGGAAATGAACTGACATGGCATTAAATGTTAAAAGTTTTGGAGAATACTATAGGAAAGTTATGGATAAACATAATTGGGTTTACGAGGGTGTCATGGTCACAAAATGGATGTAAAAAAGAGTACTAGGCAAAAAATAAATAACATCGGATTTTTAAAATATCCTTTATATTTAATCCATATATGACAGAATGAAGGTCACAGCATATTTGAAACTATTTTTAGCACTAAAAATGCAAAGGAGAAAACAATGAATATATGGTAATTACTTAGCAAACTCTGAGTAACTTATTAAGTGTTAAGTATTTTATGTACCTCATTTCATTTAATCCTCAAACCCACCCTCTTCTAGGGCATTGTGATCCCTATTTTACTGATGAAGAAATTAACGTTCAGAGTTTAAATAACCTAGCCAAGGTTACAGTCAGTTAATAAGTACACTGAAGCCAGAACTAAAACCCAAGTCAGTTTAGCTTCAAAGCCCATACTTTTAACCATAAGGTTATCCTAGCCACAAAACTGTATTTTACCCAGAAATTCTGGATTTATTCCCTATTTAATCATATAGCAGAACTAGTAAAAAGAAGCAAAACTGTACTGTTTGTAGTTTCATCTCTCTTCACTTCCTTTGTTAATTTTTTTACTGGTAATGTTAGTAAGTAGCTACAGTTTAAAAAATACATTTTTTGTTAAAAAAATCTTTCTTAAGGTATTATAAAAAGAAAAGAAGTTAGATAATCTACAGACTAGATTATTAACTATCAAATAATTAAGATCATAATTCACAATGAAAAATATATTACTTAAAGAAACTAAGTTCATTGACTTAGGTAAAATTTTTACCACTTTATTTTTATGTAAACGTTTTTTTTACAATTTATAGAGAAAACTAAAAAGCCACAGGAATGTCTCCATTAAGAAAATAAATAAATAAAAAGAAAAAGAAAATTTTTTAAAGTATTAGCATACTAGCCTTGATTGTTTCTTCAGATACTTGGTTCTGTAATGTTTTCAAAGCTTCATCTTTCTTCATATTTTCCTTTTCCATTTCCTGAAAACATACAGATTGGTAGCAAAAATATACGTATGTGTATAAATATTTTAGCATTAGTAACAGGTTATTAAACAATTGATTTGACTAGAATTAAAGGTATGTTAAAGAAACATAAACTTAAAATATTGGTCAGTTTTTAAACAGCACTTTTTTTTATTTTCTTTTTTTTTTCTTTTTTTTTTTCTTGCGTTATGCGGGCCTCTCACTGTTGTGGCCTCTCCCATTCGCGGAGCACAGGCTCCGGACGCGCAGGCTCAGCGACCATGGCTCACGGGCCCAGCCGCTCCGCGGAATGTGGGATCTTCCCGAAACGGGGCACGAACCCGCGTCTCCTGCAACGGCAGGCGGACTCTCAAGCACTGCGCCACCAGGGAAGCCCTTAAACAGCACTTTTATAAAGATGATTTTACCCCTTTGCTTTCCGTCAAGAGTCTGTCTAGTGATTCAAGGTGATGTTGTTTACATATTATATCTTGCTGCAACATGGATATAGTCTTTTCTTGTTCTTTAAATTGTTGTTCTTTTTTCTCTAGTTGAGATTCAAGCTAAACATAGAAATAGGATTTATTAATTTTCATATTAATTTTTTAAAATTTGAAACATTTTAAATACAGTCGACCCTTGAACAAGACAGTTTTAAACTGAGTCCACTTATACATGGATTCTTTTCAATAAATATGTACTACAGCACTACACCATCAGCGGTTGGCTGAATCCACAGATGGGAACTATGGAAAGGAAGGGTTGACTGTAAAGTTATATGTGGATTTTCAACTGCACAGGGTTGGCACCCCTAACTCCCAAATTGTTCAAGGGTCAACTGTACACAGAAAAAACATAACACTCACAATTTAAATTACTACTGAAATTACATAGCTTATTGCATTTTGCCAAATTTCCTTCAGTTTCTCTCCTTTTAGAGAAGAAATGAAATCACAAGTCCATATCTTATCCCTTCCCTCCCTCACCAATACTATGTTCCCTCCCTCACCAATACTATGTTGAAATTGTTCTATATCATTCTCTGGTGTGTTTCATTCTCATACATGTTTTTTGTGCTTTTAACTATATATGTCGATCCATGAACATAATTTTGTTTTGAAAATTCACACAGACAATATCAACACTTCTGCAAGTTTCAGCAACTTATTTTTTTCACTTAATATTGTTTTAAATATTTATCCATGTATCCATATGTGGATCTAGTTCATATTTTTATGACAATACAGTATTCCATTGTAACAACAAACTAGTGTGTTCACTCTTCTACTCAGAAACAGTTAGATATTGCTTTTTCACTATTATGATGTTACAATAACATCCTTTGTACACGTCGCTTTATACACATGTATGGGGGTTTCTTTAGAACATACCACCTAGAAGTGGACTTCCTGGTTGTAGGATATGCACATTTTTAACTTCATTAGGTATTTCTCTTCAAAGTGCATCAAAATTTATACTTTCACTAGAAATGTGTAAGTCTCACTCCTTACAACTTCACCACTGATTGACTGGTGTTATCAAATGTCCAAAAAACTTTTGTGAAGACAAAATGTGAGTAAACTGATATGTTTATGTATTTGTGCATATTATATACACAAGTGTATAAAAATTATACGTATGTGATAATAGCAGCAACAGGTTAACTAGAAAATACTAAAACCAAAGAACTGTGAAATGAAAACACTCAAATGAAAATAAATTACACAACAGAAATTAGAGGAACAGAAAGAAAAAAGATTGAAGAAAGTGAACAGAACATAAGGGACCTGTTGGACACCATCAAGCACACCAGTATGCACATCATGGAAGTCCCAGAAGGAAGGGAGAAAGAGAGAGACAATATTTGAAGAAATAATGACTGAAAATGTCCCAAATTCGATGAAATACATGATATAAACATCCAAGAATCTCAACAAAATCCAAGTAAGCTGAACTCAAAAAGACCCACAATGAGACACATTATAATCAAACTTTCAAAAGACAATGACAAGAACTTCCCTGGTGGTCTAGTGTTTAAGACTCCGAGCTCCCAACACAGGGGGCACAGGTTCAATCCCTGGCCCCCTGGTCGGGGAACTAAGATCCCACATGCCACGTGGCACAGACAAAAAAAAAAAAGAGTAAGAAAAAGACAATGACAAAGAGAGAATCTTGAAGCAGCAAGAGATAAGCAAATCATCACATATAAGGGATCCTCAATAAGATTACATGCAGATTTCTCATCAGAAACTTTGAGGGTCAGAAGACAGTAGGCTGATATTCAAAAGAAAAAAAATAACTGTCCATGAAGAATCCTCTATCTGGCAAAACTGTTCTTCAAAAGTGAGGGAGGAATTAAGACATTCTCAGGTAAAAGTTGAGGGAGGTTGTGAGCATTAGACATGTCACGCTAGAAATACTCAAGGGAGTTCTGTAAGGTGAAATGAAAGAACACTAGATAGTAACCTGAAGTCATATGGAGAAATAAAAATCTTCATAAAGATAAAAACATGGGCAATTGTAAAACCTAACATTATCGTAACAATGGATTGTAACTTCCACTTTTTGTTTTCTAAATGATTTAAGAGACTAATACATATAAAGGAAAAAAAAGTTATTAGTCAAAAGTTGGTATTACTGTAACTTTAGTTTGTGACTCCAAATCTTGTTTTCTACAAAAGAGACTAATCCTTTTGAAGGAATTACCAGTTTGTGTTTTGGGGCACACAGTGTACAAAGACGTAAGTTTGTGACAAAAGGTGTGGAGATAAAGCTATAAAGGAGTAGAGTTTTTGTATGTTATTGAAATTAGAGTGGCATAAATTCAAATTAGAGTGTTATAACTTTAGGATGTTAAATGTAATCCCCATGGTAACCACAAAGAAAATAGCCATAAAATACAGACAAATGGAAATGAGAAAGGAATTTTAAAATTTCAGTACAAAAAATCAACTAAATTCAAAAGAAGACAGTAATGTAGGAAAAGAGGGATAAAAAAGCTAGAAGGCATATAGAAAAAAAAAAAAAAGCAAGATGACAGAAGTCCCTCCTTATCAGTAATTACTTTAAATGTAAATGGATTAAACTCTCCAAGAGACATAGATTGGTAGAATGGAGAAAAGCACACAGTCACCTATATGTTGTCTACAAGAGACTCATTTATTTTATTTTTTTTGAATTTTGTTTATTTTTTTATACAGCAGGTTCTTATTAGTCATTAATTTTATACACATCAGTGTATACATGTCAATCCCAATCGCCCAATTCATCAAACCACCATCCTCACCCTCCTGCTGCTTTCCCCCCATGGTGTCCATACGTTTGTTCTCTACATTTGTGTCTCAACTTCTGTCCTGCAAACCGGTTCATCTGTACCATTTTTCTAGGTTCCACATACATGCGTTAATATACAATATTTGTTTTTCTCTTTTTGACTTACTTCACTCTGTATGACAGTCTCTAGATCCAACCATGTCTCAACAAATGACCCAATTTCATTCCTTTTTATGGCTGAGTAATATTCCATTGTATATATGTACCACAACTTCTTTATCCATTCGTGTGTCGATGGGCATTTAGGTTGCTTCTGTGACCTATTGTAGTGCTGCAATGAACGCTGGGGTGCATGTGTCTTTTTGAATTATGGTTTTCTCTGGGTATATGCCCAGTAGTGGGATTGCTGGGTCATATGGTAATGCTATTTTTAGTTTTTAAAGGAACCTCCACACTGTTCTCCATAGTGGCTGTATCAATTTACATTCCCACCAACAGTGCAAGAGGGTTCCCTTTTCTCCACACCCTCTCCAGCATTTGTTGTTTGTAGATTTTCTGATGATGCCCATTCTAACTGGTGTGAGGTGATACCTCATGTAGTTTTGATTTACATTTCTCTAATAATTAGTGATGTTGAGTAGCTTTTCAAGTGCTTCTTGGCCATCTGTATGCCTTCTTTGGAGAAATGTCTATTTAGGTCTTCTGTGCATTTTTGGATTGGGTTGTTGCTTTCTTTAATGTTGAGCTGCATGAGCTCTTTATATATTTTGGAGATTCATCTTTTTTTTTTTTTTTTTTTTTTTTTGCGGTACATGGGCCTCTCACTGTTGTGGCCTCTCCCGTTGCGGAGCACAGGCTCCGGACGTGCAGGCTCAGCAGCCATGGCTCATGGGCCTAGCCGCTTCACGGCATGTGGGATCTTCCCGAACCGGGGCACGAACCCGTGTCCCCTGCTTCGGCAGGCGGACTCTCAACCACTGCGCCACCAAGGAAGCCCTGGAGATTAATCCTTTGTCCGTTGATTCATTTGCAAATATTTTCTTCCATTCTGAGGGTTGTCTTTTCGTCTTGTTTATGGTTTCCTTTGCTGTGAAAAAGCTTTTAAGTTTCATTAGGTCCCATTTGTTTATTTTTGTTTTTATTTCCATTACTCTAGGAGGTGGATCAAAAAGGATCTTGCTGTGATTTATGTCAAAGAGTGTTCTTCCTGTGTTTTCCTCTAAGAGTTTTATAGTGTCCAGTCTTACATTTAGGTCTTGAATCCATTTTGAATTTATTTTTGTGTATGGTGTTAGGGAGTGTTCTAATTTCATTCTTTTACATGTAGTTGTCCAGTTTTCCCTGCACCACTTATTGAAGAGAGTGTCTTTTCTCCATTGTGTATCCTTGCCTCCTTTGTCATAGATTAGTTGACCACAGGTGCGTGAGTTTATCTCTGGGATTTCTATCTTGTTCCACTGATCTATGTTTCTGTTTTTGTGCCAGTACCATATTGTCTTGATTACTGTAGCTTTGTAGTATAGTCTGAAGTCAGGGACTCTGATTCCTCCAGCTCCGTTCTTTTCCCTCACGACTGCTTTGGCTATTTGGGGTCTTTTGTGTCTCCATACGAATTTTAAGATTTTTTGTTCTAGTTCTGAAAAAAATGCCATTGGTAGTTTGATAGGGATTGCATTGAACCTGTAGACTGCTTTGGGTAGTATAGTCATTTTCACAATATTGATACTTCCAATCTAAGAAAATGGTATATCTCTCCATCTGTTGGTATCATCTTTCTTTCATCAGTGTCTTATAGTTTTCTGCATACAGGTCTTTTGTCTCCCTAGGTAGGTTTATTCCTAGGTATTTTATTCTTTTTGTTGCAGTGGTAAATGGGAGTGTTTCCTTAATTTCTCTTTCAGATTTTTCATCATTAGTCTATAGGAATGCAAGAGATTTCTGTGCATTAATTTTGTATCCTGCAACTATACCAAATTCATTGATTAGCTCTAGTAGTTTTCTGGTGGCATCTTTAGGATTCTCTATGTATAGTATCATGTCATCTGCAAACAGTGACAGTTTTACTTCTTCTTTTCCAATTTGTATTCCTTTTATTTCTTTTTCTTCTCTGATTGCTGTGGCTAGGACTTCCAAAACTATGTTGAATAAGAGTGGTGAGAGTGGACATCCTTGTCTTGTTCCTGATCTTAGGGGAAATGCTTTCAGTTTTTCACCATTGAGAATGATGTTGGCTGTGGGTATGTCATATAAGGCCTTTATTATGTTGAGGTAGGTTCCCTCTATGTCCACT